GGAGACTCTTCCACATCCTTGTAGGTGTGTTTGCTGGGGCTGCTTGCAGCCCTTTTTCCCAGGTGTCATCAGCTACCATTGCCAGGGGAGTTTGATATATTTCTTCTTGTTTTGTGCTCTTAACCTCCCTGCCTGTGCTTCATCCATTTACTCTGTTATCTCTCAGGGCATGTAATGCTGTTGGTTTAGGTGGTCTAGTACTTTTACATTGAGGTCAAGAAGAGCTCTGCATGGGGCTGACCTGCTTGTCTCTGATATGTGGCATAGAGCCTTGATTGCACCGTGAAAATGCAAACTGTTTTTTAAAAATGAGAATGGACATAACTGTATCTGAGAGACTTCATACATCTTTGATTCATAGTCATGTTGAAAGTATTCCTGGTAGAGTGTGCATGAACATGAGTTAAAAATAAATTTGACAATTATATTTTAATAATGAGAATGTGGGAATGGAGCTAAGTCAATGCAGTCAGCATTGGACTCAGTCTGGTCCAGATGTTAGTTATTCATCCCTGTCAGTGTAACACCTTGCTTGCAAAAATACAAGAGATTTGCTTTCCATGGTCCTTGCATTCTTAATTTATTTTAGGATAGTTTTCAAAAATTCTGCCTTGAAATGTCATGGTTGTCTTTAAAAATAGATAAATTATGCATGCATTATACAATACCCCCTGTCCATGCAGCTGTCCACACTCTTGGTGAGAAAAAACCAAGGACCAGTAACAGTTGTATCTGCTAGTGCAGCCTTTGATCTTTATTGCTCGCTTCTAGAGAAGCCGACCTTTCCTTTATCTTGATATTTGCAGCTCTCAAATTATTTTTGTTCACTAGAGTCAATAAGGCTATGGCAATGGAGTGTGTTTGTTTGCAGTGACCTTTACTGAGAGTACTCTGTAATTTTTCAGACTTATGGGTTGGTGTGATATAGACAGCTTTATATCTGTCAGCTCATCTCTGGAGACGGAGTGCCCAGCTGTAGAAATGTCTAACCAGGTTTCTTTCTTACAGAGTTCTGTTTTGAGTGCCATCCCATCTCATCTATAAAATTGTGTTTGGAGAGTTAATAAAGCTGGGTGTTGGCACTACAAGGCAATGGTGGATATGATTTCACATTCTGACTTCATGCTATTACAGCTATGCAACAGTCCATCACATCCTTTCCTAAGGCTCATGGGATGATCTGGGATCACAGAGCAGTCAGTTCTTTGCCTTGTTTTATGCAATGCTTCTGTTTTTTATTGTATAATTACCTTGTATCAGCATAGGATCCTGCTTCTTTTGCCTTGCATGGGGTTATAGCTTCCACCATTTTTTCCATATCCTTTTATTCCTTTTGTATTGTACCAAGTATTTATTGCTATGGTGCAAGTCTTGGACTGTCACCTTCACTGTTCTATCCCCCAAGGAGTTGTCTTAAACTACGGTGCTAAAAGTAGCAAAGAATATAAAATTATTTTCATGAAGCCAAGCCTGTGAAAAGAGATTGCTCAAAAGACCAACAAGTTGCTTTGTGAGAAGGCAACTTTATATTGAAAAAAAATTATATTAAAGATAAAAGAGCACTTACCAGTGGACAACAAGTACTTCTTAGAAATATTCAGCAAGATTTCAGAATGTATATTTTTAGGGATGCCTGATGAAATAAACCAAAATTTGAATAAACCAAAATATGGAACATTTTCATTCACATTCAGAAGTACTAATAAAACATATTCTAAGCACTACTGAATGAATGTCTTTGATTTAACTTTTTCACCCCAATATTTTTATGGGCTTGTATAAGAGGATGATGAAGCATATACTACATTGCAATTACACCATACTACATGAAGGACTGGCATACATTCTTAAGCTACAATGATAAAAAAAGAACTTTAAAAAGCACAGAAAAGTAAAATCATACTTTGAGAAAAACATAAAAATCAGTGTGTCCCTCCCATCTGTTTGCAGATTGGAGTACTATATTTTCATCTGGCAGAAACTGGTCTAGATTTAAAAAAAGAAATATTTCTCAATCACTGTAAATGTGTGACCCTGAATATTATGTTGCTTGAATCATTGTTGCTGCTATTAACATCTTCTTTTCACTCTTTCTTGTCCTACCCACTACTGCTGACATAAATGGGTTGCTCTCTGCCCTTTGGGGAAGCCTGGTATTTACCCAAATATTTGTCAGGATCTCTTAAATCATCCTATTTTTGAGCTAAGTATCCTGGATTCTTTACATTTTCCCTCAAAACTCAGATCTTCAGGCTGTTGATTGTGCTTCCTTCCCTGCCTCAGATTTCCTAATGGTATGCATCTTGCAGTATATATTCTCAGGGTTTGCCAGGGATGAGGAGAGGAGAGATTGCTTCACAGAATTTACTATTTATAGCCCTGGCTCTGTATTTCAGTGTGCCATGAGATTTAGTTGTGATACACTGTGTTTCTCAAGTCTTCTGGAGGACTATTTGGCATCCAGTTGCTTCCCATCCTGGATTTTCACCGTTTTACCTCCTCCTACCTAAATGTATTATCTTGCCCCGTCTTGAGTAGCCTGCTGTCTTGCTCAGGCCATCAGTGGGATCATGCAATGTTACCCTGACTTTGGTTTTCAGTTCAAATGTCTCAAGCGCCATTTCAGTATCCAGAAAAGTGAAATTTTCTCAGTCTTCATGAATGCATAACTCCAAATTCTGAGCATGTAAAGTGAACATGCAGAGTCCACATTTTCACTTTGTTCAGAGGAAGCTTGTTATGCTTCTATGTTTCTGACCTGCTACTATGAGGTAGTAGGTCAAAATTACTTTTGCTGAGGAATGCAAGTTCTTAATGAGCATTTGAAAGGCCTACAAACTACACAGCAATTTTTCTCCTTAATTTCTTTCTCTTTCTCCTGCCTACCTCCAAATTCTAGACTTCTATTTTACTCTATTAGATTGTTTTACCTTTTCAAGTTCATCTTCTTGATTATTCTAAAATAAGGGGGGTTTTTTTGAGTAGGATTGCAATTGTGTTCCACTCAGCATGAGCTAAGTATTGCTCCAAAGGTGGTTTTGCCTACTGGGTATAAGAAAAGCAAAGCCCTTAAGCAATTTCTACTGTACTTTTTTTTTTTTTTTTCCTGGCACAAGGCAGAAGACATGGAAATCTTTTCTTATGAAGAATGTATTATAAATTTGCAAAATGAATTTTATAAAAAATTTTCATTTCCTTTCCCCTAAAATAAATAGAAACTGTCATCCTCTTCAACAGGTAGAAATAGAATTTAGGTTCACTTTCTGTCTAAATTCTCTTTCTGGAGCATCAATTGTTATGAAGCACAGGCACTAAAAGGCAGTAAAGGAAGTGGTCTGTGGAACAGTAAACGGGCTTTGTTTTCACTAGAGTAATGTGAAGTTATTTTTTAAAATGTCTTTCTTTTGTGGTCCAGGAAGCTAAAAAAAAAAAAAAAAGAACAGACAAACCAGTCTTTAATGTGTCCTAGTACTTTCAAATTTCTTCATAATGAATAAAAAATTCCAAGAACCTCTCCTCTCCTCTCCTCTCCTCTCCTCTCCTCTCCTCTCCTCTCCTCTCCTCTCCTCAGGCTGGAATCAGCTCTGTACAGCCCCAATTGGCAGTGGATGTGTTTTCACTTCCCTCTGGAGGGCTGTACTTGCTGAAGCACGGCAGGATGACATGTCCCTTGCCTGTCTGTATTCTCAGGGAACAATATTGTAAGGCCAGGCACTGTTCCCTCATGCAAAGCTGCCTGCTTGAAGCTAATGTGTGCTCATAACACTCATGGTGATAGAAAATGCCTGGCTCCATCCACCTCTTCTGCAATTCTATATTACTTCATTAGCTTTAGTCATTAATTGTTATCTCCATATAGCATGTTCTAGTTGATTCATTGTTATTGGAGACAGAAGGGTAGGAATAATACCAAGATGTTTTCACAGATTGCCCCATGAGTAATGAGAAATTCTTTAATTCTTCACTTTGTTGTAATTACATTCAAAATGTATGTGAGAAAATGTTATGTTGTCACGTAGGTTTTTGTAAAACAGTAGTTAAAATTCTGTTACTTAACTTCAAATCAGCACATACCTACTCTCCCTTGCAGCATTCTAACAGGAATTGCCATCACGTTTGTTTATTTATTTAAGGTGGAGTTGGGCCCACTGTTTTTTAACAGAATTCGGAAAACAGCCAAGACAACAGTCAGAAGAAAATTAGGCAGTGCATTTCCATAAACCTTTCCTTTATGTTCAGCCTAAATAAATTTAATTTTCATGAAGAGATCTGCTTTGTTTTTTAATACAGCAAATCAACTTTGCTATTGAAAAGTCGTGGCAGATAGAACTGACAGTTCTCTTTCCTCTGCTGCTTTGGGAGCTCTCTGAGCTATAAGATAAATGATCCAGAGGGATCAAGCAGCTCTAGAAAGAATTTTAACTGTGCAGAAGAAAAGTGAGCCTTGCTCGGACAGGAAATTTGCTATTTGCTTTTCTGGCTAATTGTGCATTTGATTTGCATTTTCCTTCAGTTACCTAAATATGTGTATTAAAATACTTCAGGATGTACAGAACGGATCACATCTGAAGTGAGCTTCTTTTGCTCTAAATCTCTCTTCTTTTCTAAGGAGAGTTTCCTTTCCTGGTTATCTTCTAGAGCAGGCAGCCACTGAGTCTTCAGGGTCCAGGGGATACAGCCAGCCTTTCAGGAGCTGCAGAATCCTTCACTATTCCTGAATACCTAAAGGTTTCTCTGTGATCCAAACCCATTGATTACTGGGGTCACCCAGCTTTGTCTTACTTGCATTGTTTTTGTTTTTTTTTTTTTTAATTTTAGATTTTATTTTAATTTGAAAGCAGAGAATATTCATCCTGTGATATCTGTGAATTTTTCCTTGCTACAGTCAAAGCAAAAATATGGCAAAAATCTTTGAAAATCACAATACTGTAACTTACATGTTGGGAGCACATAACAAGTCTATGAAGTGTAAAGCATTGTTCTCTTTTTTTCTCATGCAGGCTGGATTGCCATGTTGGGAGCCCTTTGGCTGCTAGTGCTAGCAGACATCCATGATTTTGAGATGATATTGAACAGAGTTGAGTGGGCAACCCTCCTTTTCTTTGCAGCGTTGTTTGTTCTCATGGAGGTAATATTCTCTGATTCTAAAGCCTGAAGAATTGAAAAAGATTTCAAATGTGAATTATGTTCCTGGAGAGAGGCCTCCTGCTTGTTCAATCCCACTGGTATATTGTTGATCAAATGTAGTTATGATAATACAGAGAGGAATAGCAGAGACTGAAAGTTAGTTGGACCACTTTCATATTTAAATTTTCATTATAAACTTGGTCTCATTCTCTTTCCATATTCTGTTTTTGTTGAATGTATCTGACACAATCATTTTTCTATAATTTAAATTTCAGTTTCTGGGTTTATTGTTGGTCTATGTGTGCAGATATTTTATTTGTATTTATGTGTTTGTTTACAATTATTTATACAGATGATAGGAAAAATAATAGAACAAGATTAAGCTAGAGTTGAAAAATGCTTCTAGTGCTGTCTGCTACATGCTGGCTACCAAATGGCCTAAGATATTTCATGGGAGTGTGATTTGAAAGGAAAATAACACTGAATTTCAGTTTGCAATGTGAATTTAAAAAATATTCAGCTCTTGAAATGCCTGGATATCTTGCTGTGTATTTTCTGTGTGTTTGTCTTTTGACAACATCCATGTTCATCCGTGTTTTATTCCCTATTTGATGCTTTTGTATAGCTTCAGAGGATTTATTCTTACCCCAAATATTTTGACTTTGTTTTGTGTGGATAATCACATTAATTGTTTAATTAGGCTTCTAGAATATTGACTGTTTATCATTTGTTAATTGTGGGTTTAAATGATATAATAATGTTGTAGAAACATGACTGACAATACCCAAGTGACCATTGACACTTCCATGGTTAGTGAATTGCCTGACTGAGAAGCCTGGGAAAAGTCTGTGATAACTAATTTGCTCATGTAGCCTCTCTACTCCCATTTCCCTCCCAATAATTGCAAAGATCCCAAGAATTTGGAAATTGGAATCTATTTAAAAAATCAACAGCAGTAACAGGGGCAACACTGGAAGCAAAAAGAAACAAGAACCAATCCAACTGACTCTAATTAATGCCAAAGTGGAAGTCAAAATCTTGTAACCTCCAAGAAGATGAGTGGAAACTCTGATTATCATTATGAAGTTTTCTGCGATCTACTAATCTAAAGTTAATCAGGAAATATTGATTTATTGTATGCTCATTAGAACAGGAAATTTTTAGTTCTCCATTTTATGAGGTTCCGTATAACCTTGAATTTCTAGGCCTTATAGACAATCAATGCTGAAGCCATGTTTATTTTGTCTACTGCTGTTAGAACAGTTTATTAGTTGTGTTCCCTGATGTGTTTATTGTTTGAACTTGGATTGACCGGCTGTGATTTGAGTGCTGTGTGACTGCACAATACCACAGTAAAATACACAGGAAGTTATTTGCCATTTGCTGCCAGACTTTGGATACAACTATTATAATTCACTGAACTTCATGTTTTCGGTTTCTCATGTCACCAGTGAATAGTTTGCTAATGAAATAATATTGTTCCTGGCTTTCTAGAATAACAGCAGTTTAAGGTCATGGAAGAAACTTGTCCAGATAATAAAGAAAAAAATATAAGACATTAAATTCTTCCCCAAAATGAATGAGAAAATGTTCTGTGTATACCATCACTGCTAATTTTTATCCGAATCTATTTGATTAGTAGGTACCAGTGTCAAGAAGAGACTGGTCAAAACAAAGATATAAAAGATATACATTGAAGTATAAGAAAACTTTCCATGATCTAGGGCATCCAAAAATTGCCAACTCATATTGCTCACCCTTAGTGATCCTTCAGCTTGGATAGTTCCCAGTCTGAAGCTGTTTCCTGCTGCTGTAAATGTTCTCTTTCCTATTAAAAGGCACATTTTAAAAACTGTGTGGAACTTAGGCTGCAAGTAATTTTGGAAAATGTGATTTGGGTTCCAGATATTTTGGAAAATGTGATTTAAGTTCCTGAAACACAGGGGAGCTCCTGAAGGTTCTGCCTTTGAGGGACCATCAGTCCAGTCTGGTGCATCTTTTACAATGAAAAACTTGGAAATCTTTTGGCGCTCTCTTGTTTTCTATTGTGTCCCTGGGTAATGAATCTTTACAACTGTCTTTTTAGTCTTTATCCACAAGTGGCTGTTACATGCAATAAAGATCTTTCTGCTTCTTCTGTCTCTGTAAAATAAGTCCCTATGCCTCTCAGAATTACAGTTCTTTGTTCAGTTTTATAGTAGAAATTGGCATGTTACCTTAATTTCTTCAGGCAGAGTTTATTTACAAGAGTCATCATGACATACTATCCACAAGAGGATTAATGAAAAATTTTATGCATAAATTAGACTTAGTTTTAAAATGGCATGTGATTTCTTTCTGCAGAACAGCTCTGTTGTGAACTGCCCCACAGGAACTAGTGTGCCTGAAGACACCAATTAGTGCAATAATGCTTACTCCTCTTAGAAGACGCAGGAATATCCAGGAGACCCTCTGTGCAGTTTACATGCAGAGGAGGACAGTGGCAGGGTGCTAATTGCTGATTTGCACGTAGGTGCTTGCAGGAGATTGACCTGGAGATCATAGAGACATCCTAAAATTATTTACGTGATTAAAATTGTCACCATCTCTAACAAGATGGGCTACCTGCAGACTCTTTTGCAGGAGTGATGTGTGTGTCCTGAACATCTCTTTTTCTCAGTTCCAGAATGAATTTGAAGTGTTACTGGAAAGTAATACATTCTGTTAGTAGATAATTAATAACACACTGATATTAATTGAATGTAAATCTGGGCTCTAATTGCTGGCAACTATCTGTTTAGAAGTTTATTTTGAAGTTTGAACACAGCAATAACACAAAAATTATTGCTGTTCTTTAAGAATATTGCTGTTACGTACATTTAAAAAGTCACTGTCATAATCTTTGAGTTGATAAAGCAACACAGATAGCTTAGAAAGAAAATGGTAACTTAAAATCAACAACAAGAATTAATTTCTTAGGCAACATTCTCCTTGGAAACCAAAATAATGAAAACATGTTCTTTTTTTTTTAAATGCAAGTGATAAGTGCCTGTATTTTGCTGCTTGTTTTCTGCATGCTGTGTCTTTAATTGTAGATAAACCTTTTCTTGTTCAATGTATTGTTAAAAAAATATATATTTCTGGGCCAAATTTACTGTGATACCCACACCACTGTTATTCAGCTGATGTTCAGTTGAGCTACGTATACAGGAATTGGCAGTCTGAATGAAAGCACCTTAGTCACTGACAAACCAGTGTCCTGTGCCACACCACTCGATGCCTGTTGGGATCTTTGTCTGCATCTGTCATGGAATTTGACAGCATGCGAGTTGAATGCTTTTTTTCCCTACTGCAGTCTCTGAAGGGCTCCGTCTGACTGCCAGGTGGGGGGATTATACAGAGCTCTGTTGTGTGAATACTGACTCCTGTATCCTGATCCGGGACTGATGTCAGTAAGGGAGGTATTGCTGCTGACTGATTCTTTTTCTTGACAGAAAAAAATGTAAGCAAGCCAACCAGCATAGTCTAGGCTAAACAAAAAGTGATGTGATTTTCTCTCCTGAGAAACTGAGAAGTCATCAAATAGATATACCTTATTAAACCTGAAAATAGTACTTCATTCTTCCTGCCTACAAGAAAAGAAAACAAAACCAAAGTGAATTTAAAGCTAGCACTCACAAGTTTAAAAATGTTGGTTTAAAATCACCTTTTTACCTTGTGGATCAAGGGAATAGGTCACTCTCCTTGGGTGTGAAGACTCAGTCTGTGTTCTGTGTGCCCAAGGAGAGATCAGAGCCAGCACCACCAGGCTGAAGTCTTATACATTTTCATCTGTGGTAGCACCACAGGATGCTGCCTAAATGTCCTGAACAACTGGGAATGGCTCCCACAGGGAGGATAGAGCACTCTGATCCAGGCTGTCCTGGGGTCCAATGCTTACAGGGTTCACCTCCTTAGTTTACATGTCTGACTTGGGCTTTGGAGAGATGGATTTCCTGCCTTTCAGATGCTGCTGCCTCTGTGCCAATTTCCATTCACCCATGATCTCTGTCCTGGTTTTAGCAGGTGGATACTGGTTTTGGTAGTTTTTGTTGTAGGTTTTGGGGCCTCTTTTTGAATGGGTCAGAGATAGCCATATAATAGAAACGTAACTTGTTTTCTGTTTCTTCTTCTGAGACTGAGCATGAGACGCCTTATTTTATCCTTTGAAACACATTACATACTTCTATCTATATTGTGGGTTTGGAGAAGTTGGTTTAAAATCAGTTGTATTCAGATTTTCAGAAGACGTGTATCCACTGAATAATGCAATCTCTACATTTCAGCCATTCTCTGATCCTGTGTCCCGTGCTCTTGAATAATACTACAAGTCATTTCAGTACAACCTTTACTCGCACCTGCAACTACAGCCACCAAGTTTTTGCTGTGTCTTTTCTTGCCTAAAATTAATTCTGTACAAGCTACATGAGTTGAATATAAATATCTTGTAAATGGGAATAAATTATTGCCTTTTCTTACATTCAGTGAGAAGAAGTAAGTATGTCATGCACTTCATTAGTTGATATCAATGTCCTTTTTTTTTACCCCAGGCTTTGGCTCATCTGCACTTAATAGATTATATAGGAGAGCAGACAGCTTTGTTAATAAAGGTATGTTCAAAATGTTTATAATTTTTAACAGGCAAGAAAAATAGTTTTACTCCAGTAGAACAATAGAGAATAATTTTGTTCTGAATTTCATGTTAATGATTGCAATCCTGCATCAGCAATGTCAAGAAAGCATGTCATACTTTGGCAAGGATGATATTGAATATGTCCACAGCCAGAATAAATATAGCCATAAATGCAACAGTGAAGTTTTTTGCTATAGTATAAAACTCCAAATATGCAAAGGTGAAAAAAGTATAAACAGCTAAAGGTCAAAATTCACAGTTGCGGAGTGTATTTTTTGTGTGAAATCTGAGTATTAGAAATATAAATCTTTGTACTTCTATTTGTCCTTGTTTTTCTGGAAGAAGGACTGTAATTGTGTTACTAAATGTTAGTCTATTTTATCTAAGATGCCTTTCCTCTCTCAGAGCCTAAAGGAATAATAACTGTTGATAAATTAAAACTGTAAAGAACGTGCAATTATGCCGTGGGGGACACACAGAACAACACTGATCTCAAAGTTATAATTGTCTCTCTCTCAATTCCAGGTGGTTCCTGAGGATCAGCGCTTGGCAGTGGCCATTATTTTAGTGCTCTGGGTGTCTGCTTTGGCCTCCTCCGTGATTGACAACATCCCCTTCACAGCTACAATGGTAAGCTCTGTGCAGCACTGCACATCCTCCTCCAGGTGCTGGCAAAGGAGCTGAGCTTACTGATTACAATTTGCTGTTTGGTTTTTTGGGGTTTTTTTGACCTCTGCTGTGCTGTAGCTTACTTTATCCTGTGAGATTGAATCAGTATTAGAAACTAACCCATGCTGTTAAGGCATCCATTGACACCAGCAGCTGCAGGTAGCTGTGGGACCAGAGGCACTGTTTTGGCTGCATTTTTGCATTTTCTCCTCTTATATCCATCCACATACATACTTGAAAAATAGAATTTTTCTTTTTGATGGAAAGAAAAGATGTTGCTATCAATCCACTGCTATCAATGTTTTTCCTCTGTGTGCTGAATAGTTATGCTAATGCTTTTTTAACACCTGAACCTTTTATTAATACCTTACTTTTGTAATTAGTTTAAAGAACACCAAATTATGTTAAGCATAACAAATGCTTGTCAGCAGCTGAGCTTTAATATCAGAAAAGTATCCAATTATAACAAATTATGGCATGCTCAGATAGGTTTATTCAATCAAATTCTCTGTTTAAAATGTGATAATTCATTCATTATACCATACTAATATTTCGTTGTTACAGCCCTTTCTCAGCATATCTTTTTCTTCACATTTTTTTGTCCATTATTGGGTGGTCACATCCACTCTTCACCTGTGCCAAGGTTTAAGACACTTCTGGCAGGGCATATGACATATTGGGTAGATTTGTAACTCTCTATAAATATATGTGGTATTTTGCTGTGATTACCATGTTGTTTCCTGTGAAATTATACTGATTTTACCACAAGAGACTGCAAGCAATAGGCATGAAAGGAAAGATTGTTTTGGGATGAGTCACCTCCCAGCAAATGCTTGAGGACTATTAAGCAATAATGCAGAAATCTTCACTTAGAAGACTTTTGCCTCATACCCAGCTAGTCTATTAAAATTGTCTTGGAGTAATACCAAACAGCACCATGAAATTAATATGTTTTGGGCAATGGGACTGAAGTGTGAGAATCCTTTGGGATGCCTGAGGACCATTTCTTTTGCATCTTTGAGGGTGAACTTCTGATGAGGAGTATAAAATATATTGAACTCAACTCTTTTGTAGAATGACTTTTCAGTTATCAGGAACTTCTGTATGAGTTTGGTTTGGCATTCCCTAGTGATATAGGAGTATGGGGCACCTGCTATGATGTAGCCATGAATGATCCTGTCCTTTCCTGGGAAAAGGTTCCAGCTCCACAAATGAGCCTGCACTCATCAAAATGAAAGACAGATGTAGTGAATCCCTTCAGCTGTCCATCAGTCTTCTTCATTGGTAAATCAATGTCATGACAATGGGTCAATATCTTGCATTTTTCATTAGTTATAGCTTTGATGGACCAGGTACTGGCTGGGGATGTGGAATCCATCAAGTTCCTTCAGATACAAAAAAAAAAAAAAAAAAAAAAAAAAAAAAAAAAAAAAAAAAAAAAAAAAATCTGTGTAGTTTCATAGATATCAGCTGTGTAAACAGCTGTGACTGACAAAAGTGTTTGGAGGATGATATCACAGATCTCTGCCTACATTGGCTTGGCCACTGACCAGAAGGAGTTAAGGGAAACCAGTCTCATGGTTTGTTTGACTTGCATGTGAATTCTTTAAATATCATATAGAGATGATGAAAGGCCTGGTGGCAGCTCACAGTCAAGGATGCTAATAGTGTCATTTCTGCATTAGAAAGACAAGCATACCATGGTTTCTTTCCCCATGTTTCAGGAATGAGGCAGTCTTGCCAGTTCTTTTGATTGTGAACCCTCAGATGACTGTGGAAAAAACTACTGTGGTGGCAAGAGCATCTGGAGAGGGCATCTGTGTTCATTCAGGGGTGGGAAGTCAGGCATGAGTTCATACACGAGATGTCCCCAGTACTGCCTCTGTGCTGTTGGATAAGGTCTTCCACTCATCCCCTAAAAGTATATGCAGTGCACGTTGTCCAGACTTGGAGCAGGGAGAGGAGAAGGGCTGAACAACCAGCGTAGTAACTCAGACATGGATTGAGGAGGGGACAGTCTTCTATGTGAGGTGACTGCCCCCCTGGGCTAGAGGCATTGTAGATGTGAACTCTTTCAATTTTCTTTTATGTGTAGTGTTTTGACCCAGGAACTACCTGAGAAATGGAAGAAATACACAATTCCATTAGAGCCTGAGTCTTGACTTAGGTGTACAGCTGAAGGGAATCAAAACAGAAAAACCTGCAAATACCTCTGTAACTGTGATGTTGTGTTTCCTTTAAAAAATCAAGTTGATGCACGGTTGTCCAAAATTTCCTTTCAGTCTCTGTTTTTGTATTAGAGAGATAATCAGATTCATAATGACTTGCTCTGTGTATAGAAAAAAATAAAGGAAAAAATATGAATGCCTAATTAATGGATCTTGAGACTGAAAGTTTCACTTTATCTGTGTTTGGTTAAATTTGACTGCTTCACGTAAAGTTTCAGATTTGACAACATTAAAATTTATAGGCAACTTAACAGTCAGTTAACTTACCTTAGGATGTGAAAAGTGGAAACTGTAGATTGATATTTTGAAAAGGGAATTAGAATACATCTGATCTAGCATTACACAGAATTCTAGGAAATAAACTATTTTATGACTTGAAGTAGTGAAAACTATTAAGGAAAAGGATTTCCTAGAAGAAACACTGGGCACTTTCAAGAGACTCTATGTATCTATGTAGGCAAATTAGGATTATTCCTTATCCTAACACACAACACATTATCTCCAGTCTTAAGAACAAAACAAAAATATGTTTGGTTATTTAAAGATGGGTATAATTTAGAGAGAAAAATATTCATGTGTTTAAACAGAGTAAACATATCGATGATTTTCAGGAGCCTTCAGCAACTTGGAGAAAATTTCTCTCTTACTAAAATATTGTGAAATTACAAAAATCAGATAAGTGTATTATTTGAAGTGCCTTGCCCTGAAAATACCTTTTCAATACAACACTTTTGTTGGTCAAATTCTTCTCTGCTCTAGACAAGGGTAAATCTGGTGTAACCCACAATCAAAAATGTAAGTACCATATGGAATTCATATAAGGAAGTTGTTAAACTGAAAACTCTGTGAAGAGGGCAGAACACAGCAGATATTTTTGCTACAGAGGATGCTGTAGAAAGATAATTGCCTACAAGAAACAATGGAATGAGTTTCTGAGTGCACTTAGCTCATCATAGGTTGAGTACTTTTATTATTTCTGTCTTGCCAAAATTCTGGGGTTTTTTAAAATTAAAATAGAGCATTGGAACAGCATGAAGGCAAAACAATTTTTGAAATGTCTTCTAATTGCTTATTTCAAATAATTTGTCCTGTATGAAAAGACAATGAACTGCCCCAAAACAAGATGGGGGGTTGAGAATTGTCCAATAAACTGTAATCCCAGAACTTTTCTCTCTAAATTGAAAAGTGAAAATCCAGCTCCCTAATTAAATATATGTCTGCATGAGTGAGTGTTTATTGCATTTTTTTGCAAAAGCATGCCTGGCAACTGTGGTAGCTATCTGCAAGTGATAGGACAATCAATCACTTCTTGTCACCAAGTAAAAGAAATACTCTAAAAAAGTATTGTAGAATTATAGAATAGACTATTTCACTTGGAAGAGACCTACAGCAATCATCCAATACAAGTGCCTGAGCAAATCAGGACTGAACAAGAATTAAAACCTGTTATTAGGGGTATTGTCCAAATGACTCTGAAACCCTGACAGGTTTCAGGCACTAAGCATCTCTCTAGGAATCTTTTTCCAGTGTTTAACCACCCTCTCACTGAAGAAATGCTTCCAAATATCCAGTCTGAATGTGCCATGATGCAGCTCTGAGCCATTGCCCCATATTTTGTCACTGTATCCCAGAGGAGCTCAGCACATCCATCTCTCCTTCCCCTCCTCAGAAAGATGTAAAAAGTAATGAAATCACCCCCTCAGCCCTCTTCTCTCCAACTGGACCAACTCAGCTGCTCATCACAGGACACACCTTCCAGCCCTGTCACCAGCTTTGTTGCTCTCCTCTGGACATGCTCAAGGACTTTCATACAGTCCTTCAAGAGAGTCAACTGCACCTTCCAGTACAGTATCATCAGTAAACTTGCTAATGGTGCATTCAACTCCTGCTTTCAGATTTTTAAATATTCAGATAAATATTTCCAACAGAACTGGCCCTAGAACCCTGAGGAACATCTCTGGTGCTTGGTCACCAGTCAGCTGCAACCCCACATGCTGCAGCCCTCTGGGCTCTGCCCTTCAGCCAGGTGTTCACCCAGTGCCCTGTGAGCCTGCTCATTCCACAGCTGGAGGAACAGTATCAAAAACCTTCCTAGGATCCAGAAAAACTACATTTTCTACCTTCTCTTCATCCATGAGGAGGTGTGACTTTATCATAGAAGGATATCAAATTAGTTAAACGGGACTTTCCCACTGTGAGCCCCTGTTGGCTGTGCCTGATGATTGTATTGCTCTTTAAATACCTCTCAACATACCCAGTATAATATTTTCTGTATTTTTTCCATGATCTGAGGTTAGACTAACAGGTCTGTGTTTCTCTGGGTCTTTCTCCATGCTTTTTCTCTAAACTGGAATAACACTGACAAGCTGCCAGCCAGCAGGGACCTTCTCAGGTTCCCAAGACATGGACCTTGATCAAGAAGGGTTCTGCCATAACCTCTGCTGGCTTCTTCAGTACTCAGGGATGATTCCCATTAGGCCCCATGTACTCCTGAACATTCAGCTGATATGACTTTTACAGTTTAAGGCTCCCAGATTTTGAGTTTGAATAATACTTTGTGGGAAACTCTGTGAACTCTAACTCTATGTAAAAGGCTGTGTTGCCAGGAGCAAATCTAATCTGTGTTGCCAGCTGAAAATCCAGTATATATCGTTATACCTGGGAACTGGTTAAGAAACACCAAGATAATGTTCTGTCTTGACAAAGATTTCTTTGTCTGCAGAATAAAGGTATTGATGCTCTATTGTTGCCCTATGTGACATTCTATTAAACCTCTGATATTTCTTTCCTTTTATCAACAGGCTAAACTCGCAATTACATTCTTTGACAGGCAGACTTCCTAATTTTCAAGGCCTGGACTTTCCTAGTATTGTCATGTTTGAATAGCCATGAATTTCTGCTGTTAGAATTTTAAGTGACATGATGTTATTACCAGTATGCCCTTTAGTTTAATTTGCATGTTTTATCAGCTATATATGCTGAAGCCATCTCTTTGTATTTTTCTTTTATTACCGGAAGCAAAAAGACAGCCACAGTAAATCCCTGTTTTAGCTGAGTTTAAATACTATTTCCTCAATATAGAGCAACAAACAATTTCTGTGAATCATCTGGCTGACAAGGTGACTTAGTCTCTGACAGCTCTTAGAAAGTAAATAATTTTTGGCCCACTGTTTATTGTCTCTAACACTACTGGATGCTTTTCTCTTGCAGTGCTGAGTGTTTCACATGTATCTCATGTTCTTAATGCCAGCTTTTATTTTTGGAATTTCCTTGCCCTCTGCCCTTCCAGAATTATCTATGATGTCCTGCATTTCACTGCTCGGTAAAAGTGCCAGACTAGGCTGGAGCCGTCTGCAGAGACAGAGCAATCATCAACAGTTTGGAAGCTACAAATAGTTTGTTTTCTATTAGTGCATATTCTCTGCAGATTTCACAGAAGACATCTTTGCCACAGGCAGTTCTTAGCGAAGTGTCTGTAGTGGAGTCCCATGGTGCAGAGCAGCAATGAGTCCCTAAAATAACAGTGTGAATTGCTGTTTCATAGACATGCACAAATAGACAAACCAGGCAATATCATACGAGCATGGAATGCTTTAGGTTGGAAGATCTTAAAGATCATCCAGTTCCAACCCTTCTGCAATGGGAAGGGACACCTTCCACTAGACCAAGTTGTTCAAAGCCCTATGTAACGTGGTCTTGAACACTTTGCCCATACTGAAGACAAAAGTGTTAAATGTAAAATCCCAATATCAACTCCCGAGGAATGACACTTGTCAATGGGCTCTCCTTGGACATTGAGCCATTGACCACAACTCTTTAACTATGACTGTCCAGCCAATTTCTTATCCACCAAATAGTCTGTCCATCAGATCCATGCCTCTCCAATTTGGGCCAAAGCTATCAAATTTGCCAGGCACCATTTGCGCTTAGTGAAGCCATATTGGATGTCATCACCCACTTCCTTGTTTTCCATTTGCGTTAGCATCCTTTCCAGGAGGATCTGCCACATGACCTTGCCGGGTACTGAGGCGAGACTGCTTGGCCTGTAGTTCTCCAGCTCTTTCTTTTTCTCTTTTAAAAATGAGGGTTATATTTCCCCTTTTCCAATCAGTGGGAACTTCACTAGACTGCCATGACTTCCCAAATATGATGCATTGTGGCTTAGTCACTTCTTCAGCTGGTTCCCTCAGGACCTGCAGATATATCTCATCGGGTCCCATGGACTTGGGTACCTTTCCTTAGAATGGCCTCAGACCTAATATTTTCCTACAGCAGGTAGTTCTTCATTTCCCCAGTCCTTACCTTTGTCTTCTATGACTTGGGCAGTGTGGCTGGAACACCTGCTGGTGAAGACCAAGGCAGAAAAGTTATTGAGTACATCAGCCATTTCCACATGTCCTGGAGAATCAGGTCTCCTATTTCCTTGCTCCACATTTTCCCTAGTCTACCTTTCATCGCTGAGGTACCTATAGCAGCTTTTCTTTTTGCACTTGATGTCTCTGACCAGATTTAACTCTATCAGAGGTTTAGCTTTCCTAACTTGATCACTGGCTGCTTGTACAACCTCTCTCTGTTACTCCCAGGATACTTGTCCTTGCTTCCACCCTCTGTAAGATTCTTTTTTAATGTGTATGAGTTTGTCCAGGACTTCCATGTAGGTCTCCTGGAATTTTTGCCTGATTTTTTCTTTGTCAGGGTGTGCTTCTGAGGCTGGAGGAGGTGGTCCTTGAATATTAACCAGTTTTTTTTGGGCCACTCTTGACCTGCTGAATTCTACTGCACTGCACAGCTATAGGACCTGGTAACTTGGTTAAATTACTCTTCTTGCACAATGAGGGTGTGTGTGATTACTTGTTCAAGTGCTGTCTTTGGAAAGCAGCAATAGGTGAGAGGATTTCACTCTTTGTGAGTCTGCTGCTCATCCCAGGAGGAGATGCTCACTGATAAAGCAGTACCAGTGCCCCTCCTCTGGTGTCCTCTCTGCATATCTTGTGCGCTGGTGGGGTATGGGGCATTATTTGCTCTGCATTTAGTAGCTGTCTGGCAACAGCTTTAGGACTGATCTCAACAATAGAGAATATTGAGACACTGAATTGTTTTTAAATAAATGTAACTTAATTCTGTGCTGCATATCATGTTCTGGCTGTGATGGTTTGAAAGGAATAAAATTTCTTTTTATGATGAGAAATTTCTTTTTATGTAATGAGAAATGATATCTTTATTTACTGTTTCATGCAAAAAAACCAGACAAATGTTGAGTGTGCTGAGCCTTCTTTAGGCCTTAAAATAGAAATAGACATCTTCAGGCAATGTAAAATTCAAGAATAATTGTTTAGAAATTAGCTTATCTAGGCTAATCGATAAGAGGGTTTAAGAGGGATGAGTAGCACCACTGGTGGGAGGAATGGGGAAAGGGTTGTAATTCTTCATTAAGCCTGTATATTGCTCCATACCAAAAGAACACATGCAGTCAATAAAGATGAGCATCACTCAGCGATCAAAGTGAAAGCATTTTTCAGGAGGCAGAAGACATCATACCCCTTGAGGGAGAACTGTGAAATACATTAAAATGACAAATTGGAAGATTAAGAGTTAGAACTCTATTCACTACCAAAACTCCTAGACTCTGAGAAAGTATTAATTTTAAGATTTATCACAGTTATTTTCTCAAATCTCTTCCTGCTTCATGTCTTACTGTTCCACATTTTTATTCTTTCTCTTCCCCTTTTTTCCCCATAAACCTCTGAACATGTTAAAAACAGGAGAATTATATTGTCACCTCTCCCCTTCCCAACAGCTTTCTCTCTGCAGGTACTGATCATACCATTTTTTCAAACAAAGTGGTCACAAAATTGAACTCAAAACATTTTTCTGAACTCAGGTGAAGTTGTTTAGCTTTGAAGAATGTTACTGGCTGAGAACTGGTGCTAGATCTGGCTAGAAAGCCTGCCTGCTGTATTTTTTGGCTCTATACCAATTGCCTAATGAGGTCTATTATGCCTTCCTACCAATCTTATTTTACTTTTCAGGGTTTTTTTTCTTTTTTTTTTTTTTTTAATTTTATTTTGTTTGCTAAAGCAATTAAATGAAATCCGTAAAACTGTCTGTTCTGGTTTTGACTGGCATGGAATTAATTTTCTTAGTAATAGCTGCTACAGTGCTGTGCTTTGGATTTACTATAAGAATAATCTTGATAACACGCTGATGTTCTGGTTGTTGCTAAGTACTGCTTATCCCCAGTCAAGGACTGTTCATTTTCCCATGCTGTGCCAGGGAGCAGGAGCACAAGAAACTGGAGAATGGGTGCGGAGAGCTGACACAAACTGGCCAAAGGGGTATTCCATACCACAGAATGACACACTCAGTAGGGAATTGTCCAGTAGTCACCAATTGCTTCTGGGGATGGGATGGGCTGGGCAGCAGTCAGCAGGTAGTGACCAATTGTATTATACATAATTAATTTATCTTCCACTGTCCTCCTTTTTCTGTCACTCATTTTCATTAATATAATAAATAATAACAACAACAACAACAAGAACAACAATATTATTTACTATCATGATAATTATTAATTATTGTTATAATATTTTTACAATCATTAAACTGTTTTTCTCTCAACCCATAATGTTTAATGTTTTTTCCTGATTATTCTTTCCCTCTAAGAGGAGGTATGGGGGAGTATGAGCTGGGAACCACATGGAGCTTAGTTGCTGGCTGGCATTAGACCATTTGCAAATATTTCCCACTCAACTAAATCCACATTCTCTGGTAAATATAATGTTGAAACAAGAAGTAAAATAACTCTGATCTGCTTATGAATTCAGAAGCCTGCCAAATGGAGTTTTCTCAGTTTTTCCCTAACAGATCAGGTATTTTTGATTACAAAAAGGATTTGTAATTTTTTGGTTACTGACTCAAGATCTACAGCCTCTTCACCGTGAAGGTCTGGGCATCTTTTACCATCATCTCCAGTGAGAAGAGGAGATACTTCTCTGTCCTTTAGCTTTCACGAAATGAAAGGGGAATAGATTTATTGTCACTGTCAGTTCCCTGTAGACCTAGGAGGGTCTCATGGAAGGCACTCAAAACCTGAAGACAGCCTCAGTTTTGTTAGCAATACTTGTGTCAGGCTTGGCCTAGTGTCAATAGCTTCTCCTCAGCTATGGGACTAGCACAGTCAGTGGGGAAAAGTGAGCAAAGATCAAGCATAATATGCAAAAACCCTAATTGATAAAAACAACATAAAGAGCAAAAAAATTCCCTCCCCTCCAATTACTCTTTGGACTTACTGGTGGTTTAAATTGTTTCCTTTAATGAACTTACTGTTGTGCTGATTGTTAGATTATGTCTTCTGATTCTCCCTCTTTTCTTCTTGAACCACAGATTCCTGTGCTTCTCAATCTGAGTAAAGATCCAGATGTTAACTTGCCTATGAAACCATTAATCTTCTCATTGGCCATGGGTGCGTGCCTTGGAGGTAAGAGTTTATGTGAGAAAGCCGACATAAGGTAACAATTGTTGCATGTATTAACTGGCACAATAGGTTCAATCATTTTACTGTGCAAGGCATATGGAGAGCCTGATTCAACTCCTTTGACTTCAAAGCACTCCTGGATGAAGATCCCAGTCAGTTGCTGCTGCTACAATGGGATTTTTGCAGTCTCTGTTTGAAGTCTGTATCTGCATAATCTACAGACATACACAGAAACAGTCCAGATGGTGCTTATAGGGTTCTGATCTTTTGTGAGAGAAAAGACAAAGATACATTTGGCTTTCAGAGCAGAAAGCCATCATTACTCATTGAAAAGATGCAGAAAATGGATAATAGCTAAGATCTGAATGCTTGATTCAAAATCTGCTGAAGTCACTGGAAGGTTTGCTGGCTGGTTCTGGATACAGAAATTATTTCAGTGTCCATTTGCTGACCTATTTGTTACTCCTCATTGTAAGGAAAATACTTTTGAAGTCTGTGGGAAATGTACGTTTAATAATGAATCTAACAGCCATTCTTCTAGTGCCCATCTTGATGTTAACTGGTATCTTGTGTATTGTCAGTACATTAGCACAAAACAAGGACATGTTTTTGTGACTGTTTTTAATTTTTTTAATTGAAAAGGCAGCATGTATATACTGTAGGCCCTGGATTTTGTCTCTATTTTTTTCTAAGAAGAAAAGAGAGTAGCAATCCAATAGTTTTTAAATTAATACTACAAGGATGTTTTTAGATTTTGGAAAATGACTTTTGAAGATGTTACATTACAATGTTTCCATACAGCAAGTCCACTAAGTGCCATTAAAATGTATAAGTTTTAAATCAGAAATAAAGTTAGTACTATTTTTTTGCTACTTAGAATTTTAATGCTAATTACATTGTATTGGCTGTGTTTTGATCCCTAAATAATTAGGTAGTTAAGTTATATAAAGTTACAATTAATAATATGTTGTTCCACTATGGATCCACCCCTTCTTGCCCTCCATGCCCCTCTAAACAGTTCCTGTGACTCCACAGGGATAACTAAAACCAATTTTGTGTACAATACAAGTTCAGATTTGTTTATTCAACTAAGTGATTGCTAGTAAAAGTGACCTTAATGCCTTACAATGATTACAGTGATGTAATTTACAGATTGAATTTTAAAAGCATGTTGCAAAGGCAGGACGATTTCGTACCAGTTTTTAAGTTGAGGAATATCTCTTTGTGCTTGTCATTACTCATCATTATATTGTGACTTTATTCTGTTCCTTTTTAAAACCAGTGATTGGAATAATCAGCATATCTTCATATAGATGTTTGCCATAAAAATATTGTACCTCTTCACCTTTTTATAGGACTCAGATTTCTTAGAGGTCTTTTTCAACCTAAATTACACTATGATTCTGTGAATTTGTTGATCATTGAACATACTCTCATTTCATTAAATTTTCAGATTTAAAAAAAAAGCATAAAGAATATGAAGTTAGTCAGATTATGCTAACAATCTGTGTGGGATGTGCCTTACCAGCCTTGGAGTCTTTACCAGTCTCAGCTGATTTTCCTAAACTATCAGTTATCATCTTAACCCAAATTCCTTTAATTTGATTTGCTGAAGGGCTGCCTGGATTTTGAGAGATTTCTGTGTGTATGCAGTATGAGACAAAATTTAAAATGTAAACAGTATCATGAGAATGATTTGAGTGATAGAGATTAGAGATCCATACAAGGTGCCTAGGTGTTCAGATCCATATAAATATTTGGATAAAAGGTTAGATCATCATTAGCAAAACCTGAAACTTTCCTGACTGTTCTCCATTATGATAAAGCTGAGCATATGCTGAGTTATACTGGCAAATGTCTTCTAAGGAGTGTTAGGCTGAAATTTAATATGCTTCTGATTTTCCACTGATGAAAAGCTAAAGGACAGGAGCTTATTGTTGGAGAGTAAGAAGTGTGTGAAAGCTTTGGCTTTAAAAGATGCAGCCTTGAAAAGTAGGGGGAAAGGGTCTTTTCTTTCTTAAAAAAGGAAGTGTTGATGGTCCTTAAAGATTATTTCCAAAAGAGAATTCCCATCATCCCTGAAGTGTGTGAAGGAATCCTCAAGGTCGGCTAATGCAGTTGCAGAAGGAGTAGATGACAATGACATTGTTACTGCCTGGTGCTTAGGGCAAAAGATTGGATCTTATCGCTGCTTATGCAACCAAGGGAACATGAGAAACAAGATATTTTGTCGAAGAGTCTTATGAAATAATACATTACAACTACATATTGTAGGGTTAGCTGTTTACTACATAATGCAGAACTTCATTTCTGGTAATTTGATAACATTTCTGTAGTTCAGGGTAAACACTACTAATGTGTCTGTAAAGGGAGCATCAGCATTTGTGCCTGTCTTGGAAAATGGCATCCATTTTCTCCTAAAAAATTTTCCAGTGGTTTCAATTACTTTATTCCTATTGCCACGAAGTGCACAGGCAGCTACATATTTGGAAGATGATAGGATGAGAAAAGGCAGTAATCTTCCTTCATTGCTTTAGCTGTTGTCTTGGAAATGAAAGAAGGATGGAGTCAGTCTCAAATAAGATGAAAAGACCTTTGATGGTATAACTGTCACATTGTTGTCATTGTCTCCCAAAAGAGAGCTGCTGCTGCTAAATTTCTGTCTTTCATAGCCTGGTGCTCAGGCAAAGGCAGTAAAGGAATATCACATAGATGTTCCTTGTTCTGTGAAATGTGTCTCTGAAGGTGAGAAGGGATGAAAAATTCTGTCTCTTAATCAAGAAAGCCAAGGGCAGTGATGACCATGATGAGTTCCTGGTGAGAGTGTCACAATTTCAAATTTTTTTGATATTGCTCTCATAGTTGGCCTGGTTTTGTTGGTTTGGTTTGGTTTGGTTTGGTGTTTTTTTTGTTGTAGTTTGTTTTTTTTTTGTTTCTTTGGTTTTTTTTTTTTTTTTTTTTTTTTTTTTTTTTTTTTTTTTTTTTTTTTTTTTTTTTTTTTTTTTTTTTTGTAAAATTTTTTTTTTTTTTTTTTTTTTTTTTTTTTTTTTTTTTTTTTTTTTTTTTTTTTTTTTTTTTTTTTTTTGTTTTGTTTTGGTTTTTTTTTGGTAGAAATTTTCTTGTTTGGTTCAGATCAATCTTACACAGTTAAGAAATAAACACAGTAATTTTCCAGGGGATCTGGTTCGGGAAATTTAGATCTATATTTGTCCCAGATAACTTTAAGAACTTAAGTAGTAAATTAGCAGTCTGGCTGCCCCAGTCTCCATATTTGGTGATGGAGATAGTGGTACAACCAAGATGTTCATTCATCTGCTGAAATTGCCAGATGATCTCTGCAGAGCACACTGGAGCCCCTCATGTGACTGAGAGGAGCTCCCAAAGACAGGTGAAGTGAATTCAGGTTTTTGGGGATTCTGATTAGTCAAATCTTCTGGATGCTGAACAGCCCTATTAATTCACATCTTCCTGGAAGTTAGTGGTTAGGCTGATGAAGACTCTGGAAAAATTGAGTTGCTCATTTTAAGTTTTTTTAAGCATGATCTGCCAGTATTTCAATTACATGTTAACAGTGAAGGGAAAGAAATCACAAAGTACAAAAGGTACTAAAGGAAGTATACAAGGAGGAAACTTATGGGGTGTTCTGATGAATCTGTATGACTTTAGCATGAGAGGGCTCTGACTAAAGCTTCATTCATTAATGTTTTGTATTCTAGTACTTGATGGAATTATAACACTCTGGAGACTGAGTTTTATGTAGACCTTCCAACACTGTCTGGGGAATGCTGAAATTCTGGAGAACAAATGAAGGTTGCTAGCTACAGCAATTTCAGAACAAGAGGAACTTTAATTGCACTTTTTATTTTGGCTCATGACTTTTAAAAGAGCATAAAGTCAGAATTCAACTTAAATTGAGTAAGTGTACAGTCAGAAATTCAGCTGTTAAGATTGTTCAATTGTGTAGAACTAGACTATTTACTGAGCTGAGAGCTTATAGCTAAAATATTATTTGAGGGGTTTTTATACATTTGACATTTAAAGAACTGGCATTTACTTGCCTTTTTATCTCTTTCTCTCTCTCTTTTTTTTTTTTCTTCATGATTTATAAACAGCATGCTTTTGAAAAAAAAAAAGAAAAATATCAAATTTATTTTTGAAAGTTCCTACCTTCTGAGATCTCAGTTGCTAGCACAGAAAAGTTGAAAAACTCTGCTGCAGTGACTATTAATGTGGTCCAGAGGGGATATTTTTTACAGTGTATAGTTTTGCACTATTTTCTTTCTCTGTATATTTTTCTGAAGGACAATACCTGAAAGTCATTACTGTTACAATTCTGCAGTAATAGGCAGTTTCTAGGATGCATTCAGTTGTGCTATTCTGGCCACACAACTCTGTTGTAGGCTGTATGTCAAGACAGGATGCAGGAAGAGAGGATTACTGGCACTTTTCTTCTAACCTTACAGGGTCAAAACCCAGGTGTGAATAAAATTCATTATCCACGGGACATTGTGCTAATTACAGCTATTACAGCTATCCCACAGTGTAGCTAAACAGTGGGATTTCTCTCAACAGTCCTGTGCTGTAGCTATTCTGCCTCTCAGCAGCCCTCCTTAGGTCCCTGGTGCAGATGGGACCTTGCACAGTGGAGTATCACTGATTTATTATTCCTGCTGATTCTGCTCAATAAGATCCTAAACTAGGTTTAAAGACTCAGACACACTGAAGTTATAAAGCTAAAAATATTGTTTGTATTCATAAACCAACCCTCCTTCTCTGCAATATGAGGAAAAGTTATATCCTTCAGAAAGCATAAAAATGTAATAAGTATATGATAATTAACATTATAAAAAACTGTAGCTACTTTACTGTTATTTTATAGCTATAATAGATCAAATTTGTATATGCTTTTCAATTTGAAAGATTAAAAATGTCTACCAAAAATTGAATGCATGGTGTAAAAATATAGCTATTATTTAGGAGGAGCAGCTTTGGTTTTGAAATTT